CTCTCGTCTGCCCTTTCCTTGGTTTTGTTTTTGGGTGTTGTGATTCTTGGGCGCACTTGCCGGTTCCATTTGTTTAGGGTCCCCGTTGCGGGTCCCGGTTGTGGGTCCCGGTTGCGGGTCCCGGTTGCGGGCCCCGGTTGCGGGCCCCGGTTGCGGGCCCCGGTTGTGGGCCAAGGTTGCGGTGTGGGTGCTGTTCGGGTGGCTGGGTGGGCTGTTGTCTGGAATTTTCCTGCCTGTCTTTGTCTTTTTCCCCGTCCGGACCAGGATGACATCCCGGGCCCCAAATCTGGGGCCCAGATCCGGGCCCCCACCTGGCCCACATCCCGCCTCCCCGTTCTCGTTGACCCCCAACCCCTCCAGCCCCTACCCTCCCCATTTGGGGCCCACTGTGCTGGCCAGGTTCCGGGGCCCGGTTCTGGGGCCCGGTTCGGGGCCCGGTTCTGGGGCCCGGTTCCGGGGCCCGGTTCCGCGGTCCGGTTCCGGGCCCGGTTCCGCGGCCCGGTTCCGGGCCCGGCTCCGGGGCCCGGTTCCGGGGCCGGTTCCGGGGCCCGGTTCCGGGGCCCGGTTCCGGGGCCCGGTTCCGGGGTTCCGCACCCCGGTTCCGGGGCCCGGTTCCGGAAGAGGTTCTGGGTTCGTTTTGCCCACAAGCTCAACCTCCTTCAACCCTCGTCTGTTACATCGTCCCACTCTGAATCGACAGGCGGATAAATGCGGGGCCCGGATTTGGGCCCCGGATCTGGGACCCGGACTCCGGGACCCGCGCCCCAAACCCTACCCCTAAACCCTAAATAATACCCTAAACTTTTAGGGTTTTGGTAGAGTCAAGTCCATTTTGTGGCGCGGGTCTGAGTCAGCTCCTATGGGTTATAAGCATTACAGAACTGTTGAGTCAGCACTGGGTTACAGAACGGCTGAGTCAGCCATAAGCCTAGTTTAAACAAGAATAATAATTAGGGGGCTGAATCAGTCCCAATAGCACGTTGTGTTTTGGTTTGACGGGTTGGACTTAGACCTAGTCATTTAGTAGTAGTTTAGGTTTCGTGGTTAATAACTATTTGATATCATGGGTTGATTCAACCCTTACCTCTTCTTTTCGGTTTGTTGGCTGCCTGATCATCCCAGATCCGGTCGCTGGTCTGCCACTTCTTGCACGAGCAGGCTCAGGCTCACCCATGGAGTCAAGTTGCAATCACTTTAACGCGTCACGACATGCAATTCTAACTCGCACTGTCAGGCCGGTCCCAATTTCGAGAGATGCTGCTAGAACAGTTCAACAGTTCAATGTCGCAAAACCTGCTCTTCAATTCGATGTCAAGCACTTTGAGCTCGAACAATCAGTCAGAAATCACGAGTTGCAGAGGAGCTTCAGAACTTACGGAACGCAGCAGGCAGAACTGAGCAGAGACCGAGAGCCCAGCCAGATCATCGTGGCCAGCATCCCGACAGCTCATCGTGCGAAACTGCTGGATTTGCGAGAGCACCTTGACTCCTGCGAATTGGGTTTCAGCAAGTGTGGTTATTGTCACTTCGCGGCAGGCCTGAGTTGATTAAATCTTCTAAGCCCTAAGCCATTATACTCGGGCTTTATGAGCAACCTACGGCTTGCAAGACGGAGCCACAGACCCTCAAGTTTGATGAACCATAATATTTAGGCCTTACATTCCGATTCCGATTAAGATTCACATTTCGGGGATTCCATGTGAACAGGCTACCTTGGTCGGCTCCGCAGGGGATGTGCCTCTTTGAAATCCGAAAATCGTGAGTTGGGCTGGAAGGACAAATGCACTTTCAATAGGAATGGATCTGTCTTCACGTGGTTGGTGGTGCTGAAGTCACCAACGTTCAAGATCGGCTGCTACATTTGCCATGTACAGAATGCGAACACTTCTTGGGGAAGATTCGAGGTAAGCTTCAAGGGTTCGGACCATGTGGGTTTCCAGAATATCATGCAGCATGGAAGCGGGAAGAAGCATGCAGCTTGTTTAGAGAGACTCCTGGGTGGGTCAGATCCACCGCCTGCGCCATCATCAGACAATCTGGCAGAAGCAGAAGATGGTGGGGTTACTTCCACCATTGCTGCTGACGTTCCCCGCATGGATCGCTGGATTCAAGCCGTCGGGTTGTTGTGCTCGCGTGTCGGTTACGAGCAGCAGCCTAAACGGGTGCAGTCCTCGGAAATCGGGACCAGGCTCATCCCTGCAGGCACGGCAGACAGCAGCAAAACTGTTACTCGAAAAATGATTCTGTGCTTGGAAGATGGGCTCCGTGAGGTGGACATCGCGCGGATCAGGCAATGCAGGGCTGTCGGCATAGCCATGGATAAGGGGGGCGATCATTTGGTCGTTTACGGCCGCTTGCTCGGGCCGACCGGTGTTTATGAGATGCTGCTGGGTGTTGTGACGCCAGATATGGTCCAGGACAGCAGCAGAGGGATGTTGGAGGCGCTGCAGTTGCTTTTGAAGCAGGTTTGCACGATACCAGCCCGCTGCAGACGGCCTGCCGACGACATGTTCAATTCTCCATCCGACCTTTTCGGCCATCGCCTTTACGATCACCTGTGTGATCATATTTATACTGCGGTGGCAGACGGCGGGCCAACGGAGCAGAGGGCACTCTTCGAATCCGCCGCCTCCGGGGCAGAGTTAAGGCAGCAACCAGGCTACCAGCCGTTGCTTCCTCATCTGCGCCTCATCACGAGGGACGCAGCGCACCGATACCGCTCAATCGACAAGCTCGTGGTATCAAAGCTGCCAACTCTGTTCCAGGAAACTTTGGAGAAGCTAGTGACTGGAGAGCGGAGCATCGCACGATTGCTCGAGAAGTCGGCCAAGTTCTCCCAGCTCTTTCTGGAGTGTCAGCGAGACATGGCAGATCGGGAAGATGCAGCATCTTTCTCCCGATTCTTGAAAGGGTTTGCCTTTGCCGACCACCGCTTCGACAGCAGGAAGCGGCCATTGGTGCGTCTGTTTACGATGTTGCCCATCGTCATGGAATGCCTTCAAAGGGTGACCGAAGGCGGCACATCGTTTCAAGATGCTGATGTTCTGTGGTGCCGAAACCTCTTGCAGGAATGGGGTGGGGACCGGGGCTATGTTCGATTGGTGGGGTCGGCCCTCATCGGGGACGCACTCGTAATGAGTTGGCCTTTTCTCAAATTGGCCGACAAAAGCGAGGGCGCTTACTCGCTTACTGGGGTTCAGGCTGCAGAGTGCTTATCGCTGCTGCGATCCATGCTGCTGCAGGGCGCTATTTGGCTCCCAGCAGCCAAGGGCACGTTGGTGCACTCTGTCTTGGGCGCGATCAAGCAGCGAGTTCTTTTCACAGATCAGAAGACTGATCGAAGCTCTGTTGTGGTCGTGCGCTGGCCTGCGCCGGACTCTGAAGCACGACTCGAGCCTCAGCGGTTGGCCCACAAGCAACGCGACTTGCGCAGGAGGTTTCGATTTCTTATTGCAACTTTTAATGTCTTATGACTCTGGTCTTAATAGATTCGTCTAGATGAGGTTCTACTATGTTTGGGAAGCGTTCTTCAAGAGCCACTTTCCTGGCTTCGAGGCACACCCCGGGCAGATGTATTACTGTAAATCAACTTGTGGGTACTGGGCGTTGAGTAGTTCTGGTTAATCGGGTCGGGTTTTATCTTGGCTATCTTGGGAGGAGGCGAACAGCTTCACATGCTTCAATCTCACTGCCGACCTCTCCTTGGGGGAACGTGAGGCTTTCGTCAGAGCCGGATGTGAAATTTTTCAGCTTGACGGTCAGAAAGCGTGGCGGTCATTCGTTGGGCCCAGCGGGAATGAGCACGGACTTTTGCATCGTGCGCAGTACTGGGCGTCAGCCGCTGGAACAGCAGCCGCTGCTGCCGCCGAGACCCAGGCCAAGTGCCACTTGCCCGAGTCCATGCACCAGCGGGCATGGCTGCGGACCTGGCAGGACTTGCATGCAGCAGAGCGAGTTTCGGATGCGTGTGGTATGAATCAGAACTTCTAGCCCAGTCGCCAATTTTCGTAATATGAAGTGTGGGCTACTCATTCTTCAGACATTCTTGCGAAGAGCTTAGGAAAAGGTGGGAAGTCACAGCATTCGGACGCCAAGCGCTTCATAGAGATATATCTCAGCTCTCTGGCTGGGACGGGCGTCGTCGAACGGTGGATTGGGGAGAAAAGGTCATTGACGGCGGGCCGTTCTACGCTGCATGTCCGCTCCATTGCGGCTTCTTTGAAACTGGTGGTCCAGGATTTGAAAGGAAGACGTCGTGACCGTCTGAACCCGAACGATCTGCTGTGCAAGCCCACTGCCGCCCGAGCATCTGGCGGAGGGGCGCCGGTTCTATTTCCTCCTACACCGTTCCTTTTAAGAGCGCAGCGCACTTACGCGACCTGGTTTGGCGAGAAGGCGAGCCAGGCTCGCGATGTTCGCCCGGCATCTTTCTCAGATCAGGTGTTGGCCCGTGCAAAGGCCGCCAAGCCCCGCTTGGAGAGCACACGTCAGCGAAGCCAAAATTCAGAGAAGGCGTGGCTCGAATCGCATGCTGGTGCGTGCAAGGATGCTGTTGCGGCTTTGTCAAAGGTGGATTCTCACGCCGAGGGGGTGCTGGGCAACCGCGTTGTCAACCCCAATCTGGCGGATGGCAACAGTAGCAGAAAGCGACTCATGAGCGAAGCTGCTGATGAGACCTGGGAAGTGCAGAAGGAAAAGAAGCATGCCCGGTCCAATCAGAAGCAGACTGCTTCCGGTCACAGATGCCCTCCAGCGCCCTCTGGTGACGCAAGCGGCAGCAGTCGTACAACATGCACCTAAGTCTGCATTTGGCAATCTCAAGTTGGTCGTTCCAGTCCCAGTCCCAGGTTTCAAAATATAATGGTCCCACCTAGTTAATATCAAAATCCAGATTATGCTCATACCAGGCACAGGCCTGGACGATCAGATGGGTATCGACTGGAGCACCGCTGACAAAGCGATTGAGCAGCAGCAGGCGGTGGCCGCAAAGCGACGGCAAGCTCAAGCGATGTCTGCAGGCAATGGACCAACCCCCTTCGTTGATTCCAAGGGCGGATTGATGCGGGCCAAGCCTGTGACTTTGCCAGCGGCGAAGACGTGCCCTCCCTTACCCAGGAACTTCAAGCTGCTTTCTGAGTCCGACCAGGTGCTGCTTGCCGTCCAGGCCCGACAGGGCAAGCCTTGGCCTGTCGATACTTCGTTCGAGCGGGTTACCAGGCTTGGTGTGCGAGCTGATGTGGTGTTGGTGGGTTCAGTTCTTGGAGAGTACGACTCTGCGGCAGCCCTACAAGCCCGCTTGGATGGAGCACGACTTGCTGATCAGACTGGGCGAGTTCTGCGCTTCCGCCCTGGAATGGAGCTATGCCATTCTGTGATCTACATGAGTCAGTCTTTCCGCGATGCATATCCGAAACATGTCCGAGTGCTGCACGCTTGTGCGGCTCGCGCCCCGTCCATTGGCAAGGACAAGAATCCACGCCTGGACGTTCGTCTTGGACTGCCGGATGCGGATGAGCGGCTGAAATTCCCTGCTAACACATTTTATCTTGGCTTGTCCACAGAAGCTTCAGAAAAATGCAAGCGGCTGGACATGAAAGGCAATGATGTTGAAGTCCAGACGATTGATTTGGCTGGCCTCTTTCGAATGTATGCCTCCTGCTACGAGTCGTGACACGTGCAGTGCAATGCTATCAAAGTTACCCATCAGATTAACCCACGGCCCATGGCATTGCTTTGCTTCTGCACGTGTGCATGGACTCGGCCGCTTGCCGTGTAGCTTCGTCGTGATGGCCGTGCAAAATGTTGCGATCTTCAGCCAGCAGGGCAGGAATCAGAGTCATGTGCTGGCACTGGGAGAGCACGTGCAGTCTTAGTAGTGACTGTTAAGTTGTGCTTGTTGTGTCCCACTGTCAAGGTCGATCTTTCGGCTGTCCAGCTGGATGGCGTTGTACCCTTGGTTGAAACATGTCTTTCAAGCGGTCTCCTCACTTCATGTGGCTGAGTGCTTGCAGTGTGGGTGAAGCTGTCATTGCAGTTATCGTGAAGTCTGTCTGAATTGTGGTGGCCTGCACGACAGGACTGCATGCTCACTGCTCATTATGATTTCTTGCTTCCTGTCTCTGGTTCCTGAGGCGGTGCATCCCTTGCCAGGCCGTGAGGTGCGCCCCTCGCTTACAGTTGAATGTGTCCTGCACCAGCTTCTGCGATGATAGTCTCAGTCTGAAAGCGATTCGTAATTCCATCGTGACTGCAGCCACGACAACTGCTTGCAAGCGAATTGCTGAGTTGAAAGTTAGTTTTGTGCATCGTTGGCAATCTGAACTTGTAAGAAAACAGCCTCTGGCACTGCAGCCATGGCACTGGTGGCTCCCAACACAGTCCCTGTCAAGAAAGAGCCAGGGCTCTTGAAAGTGAAATGTGAGCCTCAGGGTGAGGATGGCCTTGCAGTGGTTTCTGTGGATGTGGAAGCCGAAGCGGCCAAAGTTCTGAAGAAACTCAAACAGAAGGAATATGAGAGCAATCGAAAGAATAAGCATCGATCCAGGAGACTTCTGTGTGCGTGCATTGCATAGTTGCTGCTTCCGTGTAGGAGATAATGTCTGTCTTCCTGTCCGATTGCTGTGTAGGAAAGATGGCGCCATGATAACAAGCTTGATACTTTGCTGCAGTTTGGCATAGCGGGGCCATGTGCTAGTGACATGCAGCTGGTGTCTTACTCCTGCATACTCGCTCGCACGTGGTATGAGTGCGTGCGCGCGTGCGAGTGTCTGTCTGTGTGTGTGTGGTCATCAAAGGGAAGAGAAAGTTCGCGAGCTCGAGTTGCCCGGCGGCATGCCAACGATGCTTTGCAACTTCGATTGCTGAGCTCTCTCTCTCTCTCTCTCTGGCGGTTTCTTTTCAGCTCGCACGACAAGGGCCAAGATCGATGCACTTCGGGGCGTTCAGGAGGAGAATTTTGAGCTCAAACAGAAGAATGCTCTTCAGACTCATTGCTGAATTTTACACGGTTGTGGCTGAGGCTCCAGGTCTAACTTGTGTTATCTTAACGAGCAAGTCCTAAGGAATGCCCTGATTGATCGCTTGGGGCAAGAAGTGGAGAGGATTTCCGCGTCCCGTAAACGACCAGTTCTCAGGCTGTCATAGAGTGAGCTTGCTGATGTGTGGCATGTGTGGCCAGATGTGCCACCAGGGAGCTGGACAGAGCATTTCTACAGTTGCTGTCCGAGTTTTTTTCTTGGGGTGGGGGCGTAAGCATAGATCTGCCATTGC